GAGAAAAAAAAATCATAGCTAAATAGAAGAGAGAGAAAAAAAAAATCATAGCTAAATAGAAGAGAGAGAAAAAAAGTCATAGCTAAATAGAAGAGAGAGAAAAAAAAAGTCATAGCTAAATAGAAGAGAGAGAAAAAAAAAGTCATAGCTAAATAGAAGAGAGAGAAAAAAAAAGTCATAGCTAAATAGAAGAGAGAGAAAAAAAAATCATAGCTAAATAGAAGAGAGAGAGAAAAAGTCATAGCTAAATAGAAGAGAGAGAAAAAAAGTCATAGCTAAATAGAAGAGAGAGAGAAAAAAGTCATAGCTAAATAGAAGAGAGAGAGAAAAAAAGTCATAGCTAAATAGAAGAGAGAAAAAAAAAAGTCATAGCTAAATAGAAGAGAGAGAAAAAAAAGTCATAGCTAAATAGAAGAGAGAGAAAAAAAATCATAGCTAAATAGAAGAGAGAGAAAAAAAATCATAGCTAAATAGAAGAGAGAGAAAAAAATCATAGCTAAATAGAAGAGAGAAAAAAAAATCATAGCTAAATAGAAGAGAGAAAAAAAAATCATAGCTAAATAGAAGAGAGGAAAAAAAAAATCATAGCTAAATAGAAGAGAGAAAAAAAAAATCATAGCTGAATAGAAGAGAGAAAAAAAATCATAGCTAAATAGAAGAGAGAAAAAAAAAAGTCATAGCTAAATAGAAGAGAGAGAAAAAAAAAGTCAGCTAAATAGAAGAGAGAGAAAAAAAAAATAGCTAAATAGAAGAGAGAAAAAGTCATAGCTAAATAGAAGAGAGAGAAAAAAAATCATAGCTAAATAGAAGAGAGAGAGAAAAGTCATAGCTAAATAGAAGAGAGAGAAAAAAAAAAAAGTCATAGCTAAATAGAGGAGAGAGAAAAAAAGTCATAGCTAAATAGAAGAGAGAGAAAAAAGTCATAGCTAAATAGAAGAGAGAGAAAAAAGTCATAGCTAAATAGAAGAGAGAAAAAAAAGAATCATAGCTAAATAGAAGAGAGAAAAAGTCATAGCTAAATAGAAGAGAGAGAAAAAAAATCATAGCTAAATAGAAGAGAGAGAAAAAAAAAGTCATAGCTAAATAAATAGAGAGAGAAAAAGTCATAGCTAAATAGAAGAGAGAGAAAAAAAAAGTCATAGCTAAATAGAAGAGAGAAAAAAAGTCATAGCTAAATAGAAGAGAGAAAAAAAAATCATAGCTAAATAGAAGAGAGAGAAAAAAGTCATAGCTAAATAGAAGAGAGAGAAAAAAAAGTCATAGCTAAATAGAAGAGAGAGAAAAAAAAGCTAAATAGAAGAGCTAAATAGAAGAGAGAGAAAAAAAATCATAGCTAAATAGAAGAGAGAGAAAAAAAAGTCATAGCTAAATAGAAGAGAGAGAAAAAAAAGTCATAGCTAAATAGAAGAGAGAGAAAAAAAAAAGCTCATAGCTAAATAGAAGAGAGAGAAAAAAAAAATAGCTATAGCTAAATAGAAGAGAGAGAAAAAAAAAAAATCATAGCTAAATAGAAGAGAGAAAAAAAAAAATCATAGCTAAATAGAAGAGAGAGAAAAAGTCATAGCTAAATAGAAGAGAGAGAAAAAAAGTCATAGCTAAATAGAAGAGAGAGAAAAAAAATCATAGCTAAATAGAAGAGAGAGAAAAAAGTCATAGCTAAATAGAGGAGAGAGAAAAAAGTCATAGCTAAATAGAGGAGAGAGAAAAAAAGTCATAGCTAAATAGAAGAGAGAGAAAAAAAAAGTCATAGCTAAATAGAAGAGAGAGAAAAAAAATCATAGCTAAATAGAAGAGAGAGAAAAAAAGTCATAGCTAAATAGAGGAGAGAGAAAAAAAGTCATAGCTAAATAGAAGAGAGAAAAAAGTCATAGCTAAATAGAAGAGAGAGAAAAAAAAAGTCATAGCTAAATAGAAGAGAGAGAAAAAAAAAGTCATAGCTAAATAGAAGAGAGAGAAAAAAAGTCATAGCTAAATAGAAGAGAGAGAAAAAGTCATAGCTAAATAGAAGAGAGAGAGAAAAAGTCATAGCTAAATAGAAGAGAGAGAGGAAAAGTCATAGCTAAATAGAAGAGAGAGAGAAAAAAAGTCATAGCTAAATAGAAGAGTGAGAAAAAAAAAATCATAGCTAAATAGAAGAGTGAGAAAAAAAAAATCATAGCTAAATAGAAGAGAGAGAAAAAAAAGTCATAGCTAAATAGAAGAGAGAAAAAAAAAAGTCATAGCTAAATAGAAGAGAGAGAAAAAAGTCATAGCTAAATAGAAGAGAGAGAGAAAAAGTCATAGCTAAATAGAAGAGAGAGAGAAAAATCATAGCTAAATAGAAGAGAGAGAAAAAAAAAATCAGCTAAATAAATAGAAGAGAGAGAAAAAAAAATCATAGCTAAATAGAAGAGAGAAAAAAAAAAAAGTCATAGCTAAATAGAAGAGAGAGAAAAAAAAGTCATAGCTGAATAGAAGAGAGAGAAAAAAAAGTCATAGCTAAATAGAAGAGAGAAAAAAAAAGTCATAGCTAAATAGAAGAGAGAGAAAAAAAATCATAGCTAAATAGAAGAGAGAGAAAAAAAATCATAGCTAAATAGAAGAGAGAGAAAAAAAAATCATAGCTAAATAGAAGAGAGAGAAAAAAAATCATAGCTAAATAGAAGAGAGAGAAAAAAAAATCATAGCTGAATAGAAGAGAGAGAAAAAAAATCATAGCTGAATAGAAGAGAGAGAAAAAAAATCATAGCTGAATAGAAGAGAGAGAAAAAAAATCATAGCTGAATAGAAGAGAGAAAAAAAATCATAGCTAAATAGAAGAGAGAGAAAAAAAAAGTCATAGCTAAATAGAGGAGAGAGAAAAAAAGTCATAGCTAAATAGAAGAGAGAGAAAAAGTCATAGCTAAATAGAAGAGAGAGAGAAAAAGTCATAGCTAAATAGAAGAGAGAGAGAAAAAGTCATAGCTAAATAGAAGAGAGAGAGAAAAGTCATAGCTAAATAGAAGAGAGAGAAAAAGTCATAGCTAAATAGAAGAGAGAGAAAAAGTCATAGCTAAATAGAAGAGAGAAAAAAAGTCATAGCTAAATAGAAGAGAGAGAGAAAAAGTCATAGCTAAATAGAAGAGAGAGAGAGAAAAACGTCATAGCTCAATAAAACAGAAATAATTACCATTTCTTTCCATTTTTTAATTTTTTTTTTTTTGTTATGAAGTTGAAAAGCAATGAAAAAATAAGTACGTGCAACATGAACAAAATGATGTCTACAATGTGTTGTTAAAAACAGAAAATGGAAAAACCCACTTTGCAGTAGTGAAAATGGCAAAAGCAAAAAGTGAATTAAAGAAAAAATTTAATTTTTTTTTTTCTTTAATATTTATCAAAATATTTTGGTCTTTATATTCAAACAAATCAGAATTCAAGATAATATTAGTTCACAAAAAAGCAATATATTAAACTCTACAAAACATACATTTTGTGTTTATTAAGTTAAGAGCACAAAGTTTTTCAACATTCACCAATTAAAAGATATATATCAACACTTCTTGACAAGAGCAAAGGCACATTTAAAAATAAATTAACAAGAAAATGTCAAAGGAAGGCGAAGGAATAAAAGTAAATATTGAACAATGTTTTTTTTAAATGTCTTTAGTTGAATTGACAACTTTTTCTTAAACAATTAAGCTTATGATTCACGCATCAAATATTAATGTACATACCAGGGATATTTAAAAAATATTTACTTCATTAAAACTGTTGTCCTCATCTTTATTGCCATATTCACAAAAATGTGGTCAGTCATACACTGTGGCCTTCTTCAGATGACATATGTTGGAATTTCATACCAAACCCTTTATTTAGCGAATAGATTGTTCAAATTCCACATGCCATGCTTTTTTTCGATATCTCAGCTTCACTTCCCTTTAGTAATTCAACTCTCCAAGTTTTTGTTCCTTCTATAAGTATTGAACTCACAACTCTTTGGGTCAAATCACTTTTTGGATTACTCAACCAACACTTTTTATCCACTGGGCCTTGGGGACATCAGTGAGTGAATTTTTGGGACTTATAAAAGAAATGTCTCAGTTTTTTTATTTTTTTACCAGAGCTCATATTACAATTTTTGTTACTGTTGTTCTTCTCTATCTCTCTGTATTACTGGTTCCCATATTGTATTCATGCCTATGCTTGGCCGGCTTAGAAGATTTTTGAGGTCCGGAGTGTACAATGGGTGAGGTGTTATGAATATGGCAATAAAGATAAGGACAATGGTCTGAATGATGCAAATAGTGTAAATAGTTACAATACCTCATCTGAAAAATATAGACAGATGTTTAAAAAATATATTTGCTATATTATGTTTTCTTATATAAAACCTTTCTCACAATCCAGTGAAATAACATCTCAGTTAAATATGCCTCATTCTAATACAAAAATGCTTGTAAAAGCCTTAATAACCAAATCAGTGTTTTTTTTTTTCTAAATATATTAAATTAATCCAATTGAACTAAGTATCTTATTCATTTACTTCAAAATAACTGTGTTAGAAGAGCACAAAGTAGAACCTATGTCTTTATAATTAGCATATGGGAAAATTTAGCTAAAGCCTATTTATTGTAGACATTCTTTTAGGTGACATTGTAAAACTAACAATGATTTCTAAAGAGTTTGCTAACTTGTTTAAAATATTGCTATACTGTATTGTAGATTTGATGACATCAAATGATGATTATAATTAGAAGATTTTATTAAACTTAGTTTCATTTACGCAGACATTAAAAACCACCATTTATGTTTCAGATATTTCCCCATTCCTGCACCTTTCTTACAAAGCTCAAAATGCACAATTATACTTGGTAAGCAAATTGAGGTAGGTAAGGGGTTGGGTAGACAAAAATAAATAAGAGAAACATTTAGTTGGTAGAGATGGTCAAAAAGAAAAAAAAAAAAAAAGAGAGGATGGAAGGCAGTAGGGAACAGATAATTTGTACACTGGCATATTTAACTATTAGATAAGCACTGACCTGTTGCCGTAGCCGCTGCTGTCCAGTTACTCCGATCAATTATTTCTGGAGGTATTGGATGACCATCTGGAGACATTCGTAATGCAACAGGATGAACAATCTTGGAGTCCTGTCCACATTAGAAATAGATTAATACAAAAAGGAAAAATATAAACATTAATTTCATGAGAAAACAATTTCAGTATTAAAAAAAAAAAGAAAAAAGGAGGCTTAATGTCAACAGAATTAATTGCCAAGTTGTGCAGTAAACATATAGCAAGCATGACAAACAATCCAAAGTGAATGGGATGGAGAAATGTCCTAATCAATGCAGTTCTTCTAAAATTTAAAAATCTGAGCTGTAAAGTCCATTCTGTAGTGAGTTGGGACATGTGAAAATGAAATTTCTGCACTAAAAGACAGTTTAATGTTATAAACTTAAAATATTTCTGAATTTCTCTAATAAATTTTCACATCACTTAAAGCAATTTTTCTTTAGTTGTTCTCAATACTAAAGATTTTCAAAACAAATCAAGCAATAAACTGAAGTAATGACTTTATACAAATACTGTTAATTCAAAATTAATTTTGAAAGGAGGAATGAATCTGCAAAGCTTCAGCTCTATTTTTTTTTCAGGGGAGGGGAGCTAAAAAGAAAAGGCTAAATTTATTACTAATCTCTAAAATAGAAATATGTAAAGTAATTTCAAATTTGAATTTTATTTTCTAAAAACATTTTAATCTTCATTTGAAGACAAATAGTAAAAAAAATAATTTTTGGCTACTATTTATAAATCACCATATTGTAAAACATAAAAATGACGGTGTTTTTGACAACATTAAAACATATCAGCTGACAAAGCAAGTCAAAATGCAAAATTAAATATATAAAAAGCAGTGGGTTACATCTTTAAAAGAGCATAAAAACTAAATTGGTTTATTATTACACTGATAAACCAATGTAAAGTCCATTTCTTTAGTTAAAAATATATAGTTGTAAGAAAAAAATTTGTCTTGGGTTTTATAACTTTAAAAATTTCTTGAATTATACTTTGTTGTTGTTTGCTGAAATGTTAATTAATATTGGCAAACATTATGATAAAAGATCCTTTCCCAATATAGTAATGTATAAATACCAATACATATTGCTAGCAAAATTTTGTTATTATATAGTTCAAGTACCCAATTCTTGTATTTGTGTACAAATGATTACCATTATGATAGTATCCAAAATGAGATAAGACTAACAGACAAACTAATGTGTGTGTCCTCTTCAACTGACTGGTCAAATTCAGTATCCCATAAAAGAAAAGATTAGTGAAGTAAGAGATTCATTAATTGACAAATCAGCAGAGATTAAAAAAAGCTAAAATGTCTGCAACTAGAAGATTTTTTTTAAGCTCAAGCAAAAAAGTTCATGCAGCAAATAAAAAAATGGGGAGAAAAAAAAGCTTCAAACTAACTTGCTTGGAGTAAATGAGAAATTCTAATTTATAAATGGTTACTTGTAACAGAGAAACTAAAACATGGTTGGTAAATTACTTATGTAACCCTAAGGATCCATTAGATTAAGATACCAAATTAAATCTGTGTATACTGATTATGTGTAACTTGGTATAAACAAGTGTAAACTATTATATTGACTATTCAGAGAGATGAATAATAGAAGAAAAATTGCATCAATAACTCAAGGTGCAGAGAAAAAAAACAGCAAGTGGGAAATCAAGCTGGAAGGAAAAGAAGCAATGAGAAAAGGTTGTTGAAGATAATTTAGAAACCTTTCACCAGAATAGTCAGATTTCCAAGTTATTTACTAGCTTCTCATTATCATCTACAAGTACTTCTTGATGAAGGTACATCTATAATCATCTTCTTCATCAATCTTGCTGTAAGACAAATATCATTTCTTGTCTTATTTGCCAAAGTTGATGTTGAGGCCTGTTTGGAATCTGTTTTCCTTGTACCAAAGAAATTTCAATTTTAAAGATTTCACAACTTGTTTTATTCTACACTATTTACATTATTCGGACTATTGTCCTCATCTTTGTCACCATGTTTATTACAATGTTTCGGCCGTTGTATGGTCCAGCCTTCTTCAGGTGGTTGGAATGTTGCTTTATTCTAATTCTTATGCAATTTGTCACAATTACAGCAAATTAAGAGGGTTTCTATTATGCTAAATTTTTGTTTATTTCTGTACTTTTTATGGGACAAAAATAAATTGGTATGCTAAAGCAAAATATTTAGTGAACTTTTCATATTATAATTCTCAAATACAAAGAATTTTTTTTCTTTTCAAAAGTTTTAACTGAAAAAGTCTTATTGTATCCAATTAGATATTTTTCATGTTAACTGATGATAGCATTTAATATACATTTTGTTGATATTGCTTTTTATTTTTCTTTCTATAAAAATCTTCACCACTGACATTAAAAAAATCAATAATGCTACACAATATAAAGCTTTGTACAATAATATTGCGTATGACACACTAAATACTAAATTATATCTCAAGATATTTGTCTTTATTTTTTAAATTCTTTGTTCTCTCTTTTTAAGAAAACAGGGAAAAGGTTGGAGGATGTAGGAGACAACTAGTTGGAATATATATATATATATATATATATAAGCAAGGTCTTATTATAAAGGACCTTCTTAACCTTATGGATCTGTCAATGTTATGGTGCATTGTATACAATGTGACACACACACACACACACAGAGTATAAAAATAATAGGCAATACTAAGAGCAACATCTTTAGCTAATAAGTGAAAGAGGAAGAGAGCACAGCTAGCAGTGATACCAAAAGGGAGCAGACAATAATCAACAATGAAGACAAGTAGCAACAAGTACCTAAAAGGGATGTGTGTGTGTGTGTGTGTGTGTGTGTGTGTGTGTGTGTGTGTGTGCACACGCACACATGTGCTGAAGTGTAAGTGAGGACAGTTTCATTTTTGTTGAGTGAATGAGTATGTGTATGTGCACATGTGTTTAGGCATACTCACAGGATCTGTTGCTACAGGCTTGGAGAATTCAAAATTGACTGGCTTGGGAGCTGGAGATGACAAGCCACTGGAGGTGGGGGACTCAACAGGAAAAGATGTCCGTGTCCACTGGAATGGCATGATAATAGTGAGCATTGTGTTGGGGCTGGGCAGGGTGTCTGAGACAGATACAGGGGTTGGAGAGAGAAGAGAAAGAAGAGAGACTGACATGCACACATGTATACAAGACCAAAACAATTATTCATAGTGTGAAGAAAAAAAAAAAAAGAATATGAAAATGTAGTCATACACTCAATATCTACATATTGAGAGACTTTTTGAAAAAGAAAAAAAAAAAAAAAAAAAATGTAAGAGATCCTGTAGGAAGAGGAATGAAAGATTAAGAATATAAAAACAGTCAAAGAATGAGAAAAGTTGTAATTGTAATTGCAATCAAAATTAAAGGATTTAAATAAAAGCAAATAGAAAAAATATTCTTTATCAGAAAAATAAGATCACATTGAATTAACAATGTTACAACATTAAATCACATGGCCACAAAATAAGGAGACAATGAAAAACTGGGAGAAGAGAAGAGAGAAAAAGAGATTATTCAGTGTAAATTTATTGATTGTGAAAAGTAAACTTAATTTTAAGGAGAATGTCATGAATAGCTAAATGTTTAATATACAGGATGTTATAAAAATAAAATTTACAGATATACTAATATATATATATATATATAAAGAAGGTCTAAAAATATTTTATTAATACTGTTCCTGTATAGATAATCTGACTAAATCATAGATGGTAACTCGGGGAAAAAAATAAAGGTTTAGTCTACTAATTTAGAAGGAGTTTCAGTGGGTGCACTTAGGATAGATTTGATGAAAAATATTTTAAAATGATTATATGAGCTAAAATGAAACAGATGATAATAGCTTTTCTGTAAAAAAAAATCAAAGAATAAAAAAAAGAAAAAAACAAGACTTGATAAAGTCATTTTAATCAGGTGTTGTGAAGAAAATTTGTATACCTAAAATAATTATCAATAATTTCTTGGGATAAGAATATCAAATATGCCAATTACATGTGATAATGAAATTAATTACAGCTGCTCAACATGCAACTTCATTAACGATGACAACATATGCCATGATTGATTTAGTACATATTTCAATTTAAATAAAACTGAAAACATCTTGTAAACAAGATAAACAAATGATTGATAATGAAACTTGGTTTTTTAAGGAATTAACAACATCATGTAACATTGTAAATCTCAAGCAATCAACATAATTATAACTGAAGACATATTTATGAACAGTTCAAAGGTAAAGTATTGGATCAATAGACGAAAGATCCACAGTTTTACACATTGCAGATTGTTTCATAACTCGATCTTCCTTTCACATAACTGGGAGACAGAACATTAACCTGAAAGCAAGATAAAAGCAATTAACTTTTTTTGTTCTACTTATAAAATCTTTCTTCGTAAAACTATTGTGAAACATTATTCCTTGTCTTATCTACGAGACAAATCTTTGACAATTTATTAATTTTTGTAAAGTGTGAGGTAACCCAATGATTACCAACATAGAAAACAGAACTAAAAAAACCCAACTCAAATTCCAGGTGAATCTGTCACTTGTGCTAGATATCTTGACAAAGATTTTGTTATTGGTATGGCACAATGGTTGAGTGGAAAGTCCTGCTGTTAGTACCATGTAATCAAGTACTACCTTTTACATAATACTGGGAGAAAAGATCAGCACTTAAGTTTATCAGCCTTGTCCTTTGAGATGGTATCAGAACAGAACGTTCAATGTGTGATCCTTCCAATGACCATTAGTGTTAAGAATATACTTGTATTTGAATCCCAAGAAAAAGTGTCCACAACATGCAAAAAGCCAACAACTAATTTCTACATTAAAGTTATTCAAAAATCAATATCAATTTCAAAAAGGAATAAATATAAAAAGCCATGCTGCTGAGCATGCAACTTAAAAAAACTGGAGTAGAATTGGAAAAATACAATGGCAATGTGCCAGCAGATTTAGCTGACCTTTAATTGTGGAGATAGATCTGATCTGAACATGAAACTAATATTCTTGACAAAACAGATAAAAAAATAGAAATAATGACATCATTGCAACCAAGTGAACTGATTCAATATGAAATCACACAGCCTAAGAGTAAAAAGAATAGAGTGTAAACATGAAATAGCAAATATACAATAAAATAGAACACCAACATAAAATATATTTATATTTTGATGTTCTACATGATCTCTTACACACTTTGTTTATAGCAACTGTAAAAGTTAGATTAGATATTTGTATAATAAAGAATAGCTATTATAATAAAATAATAAAGTTTAGAAAGAAAAGCTTTTGAAAAGTTTTTATATATAAAGGATTAATTATTTTCCAGGTGATATAAAATTATATGTATATAAATTGTGTATACATACATTTAGATTTCTGTAATTGAAAGAAAACTATCCCAGGTATCATAAAAATGAGTTTTTATTTATTATTATATTCTTTCTTTATAAGAGTTTTTAATTTTTAGGTTCTAACAACAGACGCTATTTAGAAACAAACATTTTGAAAGAAGAGTCTGTATGAAAGTCAACTGAAAAGTTCATAGGCTGACCAAAATATAAATGTAAGTAGACACACAATTGGTAAACAAAAAATAAAACATGTAAGTGTACCAAAATACAACAGGTGGCCAACCAGTTGTTCCATTCTGGTAAATTTGCATGTCTTAGTCCAGGAGTCAGCAACCTATGGCCCGCATGCCATATAAAACAATTTCTAACGGCATTATAGGAAAAAAAAAAAAAAAAAAGTGTGGCGTTCACCGACAGACTGAATCATCTTCTTCACTCACCTAAAGGAAATAGATTCTGGGGCTCTGTTTCTTCGCCACCACACACTGGGCACTTTTTAGCTGACAAAGTCAGTCGCATCTCTCACCTTCTTTTCTCCTGTCAATCCATTTGTCAGATTAGCAAATGTAATTCACCCAAGAAAGAAAAACCCTTGCTTTTTATGTCTCCATATATGCCAGAATTTGCATATGTGCAAATTCCATCTCATAGAGATGAGACAAGTATTCATAAATTGTGCCCCCAAGAGTGGCCATATTTTCTTTTCAGCACACAAGACAAGTCATTTCTTTTGTCACAACATATATTACTACTACACTCCCTCTGGATCTCTGGGGGCGGTCTCTTGTGTCGTGTGCTTCTTCACAGGGGTATAGCCACAGGATTGACATCAGAAGAAGAGGTGTTGGCTGCATCTATGAAGACATGTCAGAGCAGTCCGTCGGAGGGCCTGGTCCAATCATAGGCTGCAGATCTTTGACATGGCGTGGCATTCTGTTAATCAAGACACTGCGTGCTAGTAACTCCGGTGACACATTCAAACTTGTATTTGGCCGTACATCGCCTAGGACCTTTACCCACACTCGGTCGCCCGTTTTGAAGATGGCCAGCCATTGGTCAGGTGTCAGTGCTGACATTCCATCAATCTCTTTCAGCCATATGTGATAGCGATGAATCATATTGGCTAGTGCTGTAGTGGGGGGGATATGTCATCCTTTGGAGTGGCGTTGTTCCAGTATACCGCTTCTGATATAGCACACTGTTTTCTGGTGGCGATCCTTTTCACAGTCCTGTGGCAAATGACATCACAAAGTCCGAACCAATAACTACTACAACGCAAAGAAGATATTTAGCTGTTTCAATTTTAATATATACTAAAGTATATATACTATATATATATTACTATATAAAATATATTGTAGAACAGGTATATTGACTTTGACTTGTATAAAAATATGTATGTTGTTGGCACACTGAATGATTTTAAAACCCTAAGTCGGCACATAGTTAGCAAAAGGTTGCTGACTCTTGTTTTAGTCTATCAAATGGTGTGTTTACATTTATATCTTGGTCTGCCTATGAACTTTTCAACTGATCTTTGTATATAGCACTGAAAAGGATATATTGTTCTTGGTATTTTAAAAAAGAGTGGTGGGGTACTGAAATATTCTCAGCCTGTCTAAAAAATTGTTTTCTTTGGCAGAGAGGGACATTTCAGCCCTCTCCACTCTTGTTGATAAAAGCTCAAAAAAGATGTACATGTCATGAGTTAACCAGAAAGCCTAGTAATAATAATGAACATTGTGTTGGATAAACAACAGAAACCTCTCAACAAAATAAATTTAGAATTTAAAGAAAACAAAGTCAGAATTTGACAAAAGAAAAAGCTGAATAAATAGGCTAACAGCCATTACACAAAAATATCAAAGCATCAAAATTGAGGGCCCCAAAAAAAAAAAAAAACATTACACTGGTGCCAAGAGGAAAATAGTTCTACTCCAGATATAAGTAAAATGTAAAGTTTAATTGAATGCAGACCATCTACATATAAAAAGACATTAAAAGAATAGATATTGTTACAGCCATAACATTACAAAAAGGAATGTTTTTTTTTTAGAAAGTTCAGAGAGGAAAGAAATATTAAAATCAAATAGATATTAGCATATGGTGGCATTTGTTATTTAACTGGCCTCATTAAATTTATAAAATTCAAACTAAGCTAAACGGAAATCTATCAAACTCTAATAAAAAATTCTAAGAGAACTGAATTAATTCAAACTCTTTCCAAACAGAAAATCTATAACTTAACACGTGGCATGAACAATGCTCAAATGAATGAAGAAATTAAGAAAAACATTTAAAACAAAATCGTCTAAAACCATTTGAGAGATTTTTTTTTAATTTAAAGAAACAAGTCTTGATCATGACAGTCAATTCCATAAGCTCTTTGTAAGTTATATTAAAAAGATTAATGTTTGAAAAATTATTTAATTGCATAACTTAAAAAAGAAAAAAGGTGCTTGAAGACAGCAAGAATCTAGATAAATTAATATGCTCTGACATGTAATTGTAAACATTTCCAAAAACAATCAAAATTATAGTTATAAATAATTGGGAGTAGGGGATAATGTTTGTAGTAACAAGAGCTAATGAAAACTAAGAAATTTAAATTTAAAATATTTTGATAGGGTTTTAATTTTCCAATCATTATCTTAAAAGATAAAAAGAATTTAATGAATATTAAAAAAATTTTAGAAAGAAAATCTTTGTAATTTGGAAAACATATTTCCATAGTATACATCTTAAATAGCCCACCTTATGTTCAATAAAAACACAACACCCTCTATCTATGCATAAATGTATAACACAGTTTTTTATAATGATGATGCTTTCAAAGCTGTCATAAATCTTGAGTAAAATATGAATAAATTCACACAATAAAGGATGAGGAAAACAATTGAATATTTTCCACCTTATAAATTTTATGAAATGTATATTTTACAAAAAAAAAAAGATGTATGCATATGCAAGAGATACCAGGATATGTAGTTACCTGGTTACTGGGGGGTGATGTAGGTGTTAATCTTTTCAAAGTACTTCCAGGGGGCAGGTCTGCTGCAAACGGCTCATCTAGCAGGGTTAATACAGAGAAAAAAAGATAAAACAACACTGTTAACAAGACAAGATTTCAATAATAGTCATGAAAATGTTTTTAAATAACAATGAATTAATCTGTAGCAGTTACACGCACACACACACACACAGTTCTCTCTCTCGAAATGTACATAATATTATGGCTATTGCCTGGAAGTTAAATAATTTCATAAAAGATGACTTTTCATTTCAGCTGACTTATTTATCACCTCCCCCTACATGCCCAAAGTTGCATGCCACATTGTCACCAAATGAAAATTAGAAATGCCAATTCCTCCTCCCAATGTTTATTTTTCATAAAGGAATTTACTGAAAATGATAAAGACTATTTATGAATACATTTTTAGTTGGCTGTGCAATGGAAATTAAGATTAAAAATAAATTGTGTCAAAAAAAAAAAAAAAAAAAAAAAAAAAAAAATCACTGAACATATTCTTGTAAGGTACTATGTAAAAGTTTAAGGAACTTAAGACATTAAATATTTTCTTCTACAGACACAAAAGTAATTGATAAAATTCTTATTTCCTAAAGATGTGCAAAACATCTTTCTAAACACAGGAATTTTTAGGGAAGCTTAACAGAGGAACAGGCAATTGAAAGTTGGGTAGCACTTCATATTTAGGAATTTTAAAGAGAAAAATGAACATATGACAAACAGTAACATTTTTGCTATGAATTTTAAAATTGTGATAGATTTCACTGGAAGTTTACAGAATAACATTAGAATCTTTTCCTTATATAGAAAAATGATAAAAAAATATATTCAACATAAAATACAAACTGACAATTACAAGTTTAACATAACTAGCAAATAATATCCAATTATTTATTTAACATTTATATAATTTATTTCATTAATATTTTGTTTCCATAAAGATTTCAGATTTTTCAACATTGTAATAAGTTTGGATTCTTATACAAAGGGTTGCTGAAAGGTTCTCAGCTCAAACAAGATGAGATTTAAAAAAAAAAAAAAGAAAAAAAGGATCTGGGTGTTTTATCATTTGGTCAAATTTTGAAAAGTGGGTTAAAGTCAAGAACTTATTAGCATCTCTTTGTATTTAATAAAAATTAATCATTTAGGATTTATACATTGAAATAAATGGGAACGTAGCCAAGTGGTTAGAACATTTGCATTTTGACTGGTTTGAATCTCACCATAGTCAATTTATCAGGAAGGAGACTTCCTGATGTTATCGGACTGGATTGAGGTCGATCCCAGCATGCAGCACCTTTGGAAAGTGCCTTAAAAACCATACCATGTGTTGACCCAAGCCTGGTGAGTGAAATTGGGTAGACGGAATCCTTGGGTGCCGTCAATATCCGTGCTAGCACAAAGTCACAAGTCATTGTGGCTGAGGGCTTGTGCGTGCTGACCTTGTTCAAATTGTTGATCATGCTAGATAACATGCTCTTTCCCAGAAACTGTAACTGTAGGTCTGCTCAGCATAGTTGCAGTATAAGCCACAGGTGGGCTCTGTGGGTGTTGAATAAACACAAATGTGCTTGAGTAAACGTCTGCAATAGGGATTGGCTAGCCACCCTAGAGACAGGTATTCTCGAATATGAGTGGCCAGCTATACATATAATAAAATACTTGTTGATTGTAAAAAGAAAAAAACAAATCAATATTTTATTCCTATGTGAAAATTCAGGAAATGTCTTGATCACTGGAGATTACAATGTTTTTTTTTGTTTTTTTTTGTTAAATAACCTCTTTAGCTCCATGTGTTATCTTTATTTTTTAAATTTTAGTGAAAAAAGTTTTTCCCCATTCCTCACCATGATGATTCCAATATCCAGAGTGCAGCAGAAATACCTCTCATCAAATGGTAAGACATTAGCTAGATGAAGACACCACTGCCACTAATGTCTTACCATTATATGGGAGGCATTTCTGCTATACCTTGTATTATTAATGTCAACATGTGATGCCATATTAGTAAATACCTTATCAGCAAATCCAGAACAATCATTGCTATCACTATCAAACATCTGAAAATTGTTTTGTGTCATAAATCAATTTGCTACTCAAGAACAACTAGAACTTGCAAAAATATCATTAAGTTAATATGAATACCACATTTTTTTAAACATTGGGATGATGTTAGCCGTTGTCGAAATCATACTTATCCGGCATAATGCTTTCTTGTGAAAATATGTAAAACTAAATGTACTATCAAAGTGAGAAAATTAACTTGTATTATTTTCAACACAGCATATTTAGTTATAGGATTTGTTAATATTTGACATTAGATCAGTGTAATATCTTGTCAGTTGCTCTAGGACAAAAAAGAAATTCTCAGAAATGGTTAAAATGAAAAAATATTTTTATTTTTGCCAAATTAACAAAAAGTCCAAAATTGGGCAGTGAAACAAGAAATTAAAATGTCTTAAAGCTGTTGGCCAGAAATAATTTTAAGTAAATTCAAAAATAAGTTATGTTTTTTTTTTAATTTTAGCAAATTTGTTTCTATAACAAACTAATTAAATAACTACAACAAATTTCCACCTCCAACAAGTGAGCCAAATGTAAGCCAGTATCGATAGAAAAATAAGCTTAAGATTTCAATGGATCACAAAAATATTTTAATGTATAAAAATCAAACAAGTTCAAGATTAAAATGCATACATTTTTAACAAGAAATATGTAAAATTATGGAAAAAAGATTTTCTTAAAGACATCTAGCTTTACTCTTAAATTGGTCCATTTTAATTTATAAGTATATTTTTCTTCTGTCACTAATAAATAAACAATGAGTGATGATATTACAGAAAAAAAACAATTATTCCTTCTTTGATGAAAGAATAAATGTGAAATGTAATCTTGTAGTATTAATTTAAAATGGATTATTATAACATCATGATATAATAGATATCTAATTATATTTAAAGAATTTTTTTCCAATTAAGCTTTTAGTGTACATCGTTTCACAAGTGGAACATATTTTAAGACCATATTTGGGCACTCAGAAGGTAAAAAAAAAAAAAAAAATGAAAGGAGAGTACACTGTTTAAGGAAAAATAAGAATGCATAAAATGACTAACATGCTGATATGTTTGAAGTAATATTCCTTTGGTACTTGTTACTCTTTCTTATTGAAGTTACCTTACTAATGACTGATAGATTTAAACAAGGATATCTAAAGATTTGGTCCCATTAAAATAAAACAAAGGGAAAAGGAGGCCCCCCCCAAAAGCAGCAAAATCTTGATAATCTTTGATGTTTACAATCACACGGTTAAATGAACAAAACAAAATAATATAACAAAATTAATATATTTTATTTGGACAAATATAAGGGCTTTTGAGTCAAATACTGAAGGCTTTATTATGGCTTACACCATAACCATAAAACTCACTGGCTAGAGGTGGAACTGACAACACATACATTGAGAAGAGAGAATAAATGTTGCTAACTTTTACCGTTGGTCAAAGTGGAATAGGGCATGAGTGATACAGGTAAGTGGTCAGGAAGTTCAATGTCATTTCGGCGAAGTACCACTAAGTGCATTGCAATGCAGAATTCATCAAGAGACAATGCCCCATCTCGATTTAGATCTGACAGTTGCCTGGAATATAAAAGGACACACATTAAAATAAATATGAAATAAAACAACTAAAAATGATAGTATTTGAAGTTATCAAAAATTAATGTAAATTTGCTTAGCAGATATGATACAAGATTCTTACCTATGGAAGCAAAAGTTAGTATGAAGGAGTAAATTTATAAAATGTGTAGACAACCTGTAACATTATCAAATTAAGAGGCTTTGTTTATTTGGTTTTAATGTGTTTACTAAACAAAAAAAAATCATGTAAAATTTTAAGTCAAATGTGAAGATTTTGTGATTTGTCTATTTGCTACTTCTTTCGATTGTACAATCAATAAAAAAAAACAAAACAAAAAAAAAAAAAAAACTATTAACTATTCATTTCCAATTTTATAAATGTTGCTGCATTATTCATATCTTGTTTCTTAAAACAATATATTTCAGCTGAATTTTGAGTTTTCCCACTCCTTTTGTGAAGTAGTATAAACATTATTAACACTTTCACTGCTGCATTGGTATAACATCATTGCCTGGCTGTGCTGGCCTGTTTGGGAAAATACTTCTAATAACAACAAAGTCACAGACACTGAGTTCTCATGGATTCCATCATTTTGTGTTTTGATAGGATACTCAGTAGTCCAGACTAAGCTAAATGACCCCCCCACACACACAAATAATGTAATAAAAATATGCCACAAGTTAGTTTATGACACTAGGGACTGAGGTTTCATGGTGTCTTCAAAAATGCAATGTAAGTTTCATAAAGATGTATAAGTACATCCACAAATAATAGAAGTGCTAATGTATTTCTTAATGTTGATTGGCTAAAAAGGAAAATGGAATTTTAATCTATTTTGTAACTGATTCAAGAGATTATGTACTAATTATAAATCTGAATCACACAATGAAATTTGATAATCAACATATATTTAAACATTTTGGTCGGACGGTTGGTTGTTTTTGTTTAGCAGCATATCAAAACCTCTATGGGTTATTTAGTGCCAAAATCTAAATACTTTGTGTGCAATTTTTTTGATAAAATAATGGTTTTAGTGATATAAGTTCTACTAATTACCCCCATAGCTGGGGGGTAGTAGAAAAGGTAGATTCATACATTTCCCAAAGGTATTTGTGCATAAGTGAATATAACAAATTCCACTGAAATTGGAACTCTGCTCTCCGATTTCCAATTCTGAGCCATTATCCATTATACCACCCATACATCCAATCTTACTGCTCCTAGTATTCCCAAGCGGTCACCCATTTAGGTACTGACCAGGCTCAACATTTCTTAAGTTCAGTGATCATATGATTAGCTATCACAGAAAGCAGGTTCTAGTTTTTCTTTTTAAGAACACTATTTACCCAAATTATTTTCACAAAACTTTATATCTGCTCAGTTTCATATCTAAAACATTAACAAAACAATTTCTAAAGAATGACGTATAAAAAATTTACTTTTAATCCAACATTTTTATTACTGCCAGGAACACATTTTCTTTAATAAGATTTCTCAAATGCACATGTCGATAATTGTAATGAATAGAAAATGGGATATCTATTTCAAATCCAGAGTATCCACTATAATAATGTTTCATGTAATAAAAATATCAAATTAAAAATAAATCCATTAATTCTTTAGAGACTGCATTTACTATACTTTTATTAATTGATAAAAGACTACAGTTTGATTAATACAAATTTCTATAGTACTTGAAAATATAAGCTTACCAAATTTTTGAAAGTTCATGAACAGGCAATTTGGATTTTTCAAAAAATTCTTTTGCAATACTGCCTGAAAATAGAGAGAAAAATATGAAAGTAAACCTCAAGGATGATTGTCTTAATTTATGTTAAAAATGAATATATTCAGAATTAAAAAAAATGTTATATCTACCAGCAATGGATTGTGCTTTACTCAAATATAAAAGATAGGTAACATTGTTACTTGAGTTTGCTAATTTTAATTTTTTCTTTATAGGAATATAATATTCTTGGTACAATGACATCAATGATGACCATGCAGAATTTACTAGTATATTGTGATAAAAGTTCATCACATCTTTTACAAAATTTTTTTTCTATGAGAAAGTGAGAAAAGGAACCACAGAAGGAAATAGCAATATTCTACAGCCATTAATGATCTTACGAACAAAAGTTATTCTTTCCTAGCATATAGATCAGCTTCAGAAAACTTGTAAAGTGTTCATAAATTTGAAATACCTAATATGACTCCATTCAATTCTGCCTGCATTGTTTTAAATTGCTTTACATAATATTCCCGCTGTTCTTTTGATATAGTCCACACATCATCTACACTTTCTGCTTCAGAACTGATAGAAGAAGAGTCTACACATTGACTTTCCAGATTTTCCCACGATGTTTTGGTAGCCCCAGTATCAAGTAAACCTGTGGACAGATGAAAAATGTTAGTTAATAAAATAATATTGTTTCCTTTTACATTTAAGAAAATAATTGTGAAATTTATCTGTCACAAGAGAAATGGAAGGGTTAAAAATCTTTTAAAATATATGCAAAAATATTTAAAAAGGCTTTTCGACAAAATTCTAATTAAACATGTCATCATGAAACTAACAGAAATGAAGCTTTATAACTTAAAAAATTATTAAGGCATTCTAGTATATGTTCTGTATTTTCAATGTAAGACTGACTCAAAATGCTGAATGCATTTTTTTTTTCATGATTCAAATTAGTATTAGTTACTTTTTTCATTGAATGAATTCTTTTCTTCCAAAATTTCTGTTAAATAAAACAGATGGTTTATGAGAATTGAATGCAAAAATATAGACACATTTCAATTAATTTTCTACTTTTCTATTTATGACTCAGAAAAATGCATTCATAATTTTGTATTTTACTGAAAAGTAGTCATATAGTTTTATATAATGGCTTCTTACTGTCTCATTTATGATACACAGTATCAAACAATTCCTAAGTAATTTGAATTATTTCTTGAATACATTACTAACTCTAATGAAAAAAAAAAAAAATCAATTTAAAAGAATTTTAAAAAATTTTACCCTAAAACAAATATTCTTTCTGAAAAAATGCTCTAGTTTAGAAAAAGCCTATCTACATTGAAGTTTAGTATATATAAGAAAACTCAAATGTCTCTTACTCTAATGATAAAAACTGAATTATTTCTATTAGGTCAGTATTTATAACACTTGAAAACTGATAAGTCTTATGTGCTTCCTATCAAACTTTTGGATAAAGTATTCAAGAAAATGTTGAATGCATCAAAAGACAAACTCTAATGTTATTAGCGAGGTTAAGCCACACTAAACTTTAATCAATGCTTGGAGAGAAGACAAAGAATTTTAAAATGCTTCAGCTACATATGATCTAAATCCTCTATAAAGTATATACAAGAGAGTGCTGAAAAGTCCTCAACCAAAAAGTTCTAGCACCCAAAAAAAATAAAAATAAAATAAAAATGATGTTTGGTCAGATTTGTTCACATTTGGGGAAGTGGGTCAGGGCAAGAACTTTTCAGTACTCCTTCGTATACAAAAAAAAGCTTGTGACCCTTGCATTATATAAATCATTTTAGATTCAATCAAACTGATAACTAAAATAACATACATTGGAAACAACACAAAAGTAGGTGAATTCATGTTTGTACTCTATCTGCTGCCATAATATACACACACAAATTTAGCAAGGGATATTTAAGAAATAAATAAATAAATTTTCAAGTGATGAGTCATCCTATTTATATATGGTTTTAACATTTTTATTTATAATCTCTCATTCTGGGGTCATCTGATTAGTGTATCAACCATGCGTGTTTAGGTGTACTAGTAATTCAACCATCAGTGTTGGAGACAGTGATTTTTAATAAATCTTTTTTTAAACAAAAACAAGTGTAGGAAATATAAAGTGTGTGTCTCTAAATACTACACAAGTTATTACACATTTTTTTTAAATATTAAAAAAATGAAAATACTCCACCACAAAACTGTAATAATACTACTACAAGTCATCAACAATGTATGGAATAAAATCTGAAAAAATATTAAATTTAAAAAAATGCCAGAAAAATTAAGGCTGAGAAGCCTCCATTATCTTAAGAAATTTGGTAGCCTAACTGGTTTAAGGTTTCTTTTTGGTGACTTCATATGAGTTTATTTAATAACCAAATAAGAGATCAGCTAAAAATCATTGGGATAAAAAGCAAAAAAAAAAAAAAAAAAAAAAAAAAAAAAAAAATTAATAAAATAATGGACCACAATGAAAATACCTCATCCTAAAACTATTACATAATACAAACTAAGTTGGTGGCATAAAATCTTCTGTCTTTTGATTTATGATATTTGGAATGCTAAAATCAAAAAAAATAATAATAATAATTCCTGTTCTAATGCCAGGATCAACTTTACCTTTGCTTTCTTCATCTTCAAATGATGCCCAACCTGCAACATCATGCACTGAGTTAGTATATGCAGATGCAGACAAGGGCACTGGTGCTTGGATCAAACCTGGTACTGGGCCTGCCACACCACTTCCAGGAACCACTGAACCTCCAGGGGCAATGGCACCAGCTGTACTGCCTCCAGGAGTAGTGGTGGCGGAAGCTGTGGGTTGAGAAGGCAATGCTGGGTAGCCTGCTGCTACGACAGGTGTGACTTGTCCAACAGCAGCCGCAGCAGCAGCAGCATTAACCCCAGTGCATGCTGCTGTACCAGCACTAGAACTGCTGATCATGCTTGTGTTGACAGCAGCTGGAGCTGTTTGCTGTTTGCCAATGTTGGCCAGCTTCATTCGGTTCGGAGACGTGGGAGGAGATTGCTTTGGAGAAAATGGTGGGGACTTGCTGTCATGAGGAGATTCATCCCGACTCTGCAATTATATATATATATATATATATATATAGATAGATAGATAGATAGATAGATAGATAGATAGATAGATAGATAGATAGATAGATATAGATATAGTTAAAAAAAAAAAAATCTTAAACACAAGAACAAAAAATACCGTGTATGTAATAAACAGAATTGGATATAAAAAATGATACAGCAAATGCACTAAAATCTAAAAACCACGATTAATTTTATTTAAAACTCTTTACATTACTAAATATGAAACATATGAATTGCCAGATCCAAAGCATATCATTAGAAAATAGAAAAACAAAATGTAATTGAGTTTATTAACTTACAGGTGTTTCATTGTCAGTTTATATTCATATTAGAGGAATCTGAGAACTCTACAAAAAGGAGAGTGGTTAACAAGATAATCTGACCATTACCATTGTGGAGGGAGTTGAATCTTTAATGGATGCCTCCTGTGGCCTTTTACCAGGCTAAGCTAAGCTATTAAATAATCATATAAGGTATGCTATTATTTAAAAAAAAATAAAAATAAATGATGATCCCATAAATCTAACAGTTACAAAATACAGGTTTTATGTACATAATACATGTGCAAAAGTTTTCATTTTTTTTTTTAAATTAAAAAAAAAAAAAAGGAGATTTTCTACTGTGTATTTAGTCTGTAATTTTTGAAAATGAGGGTGCTAAGAACTTTTGTACACATTTAATAATGTAAAATAAAAAATCTGCATATGTAATTATATCTTTTATTAACACCAGAATAAGACAATACATTTATTTAACATTATTATTACAACTAGTCTTTGTAATGTCAATGTGATTAATCATAACAATTCTATAAAAGAAGCTATCACATAAAAATTTGGTCATCAATATTACACCAATATCAGATGAGATCCACAAGATGTTTTATTTTAACTTTGAATGAAACTAATTAGTAAATTCCAATAAATAGTAATCAGCTTAATTCATGTTAGAATGAACAATTTGAAATCTTTTACTAATTTCCTGTTCGCATAATTAGATTAAATAAAGATGATAATTCATAACAAGAAAATGTTAATCAAGCTTAGTTTTATTTCTATAAAAGTTATCAACTGTCAGCAACAAGATAATTGTTGGTTAAAAAAAAGATCAGAAGTTCATTTTAAAAAATTTTAGAAATCATGTTGTGTAAATATATCTATTCAAGAATATAGGGAATTTTAAAAGGTTACTTTTAATTTTATTTAGTATTTGTGCATTAGAAATATATTCAAGTTAGTTTTATCAACTACTTTGATTTTTTTTGATTTTTTTATTTCACAAAGGACTACAAAGGTTTTCTAAGAACTATACTTATTTTTACATGAATATTACATTAACCAGAAAATGGTCCTCTAAAAAATCTTTTTTTTTTTTTTTTTTTTACTTAGCTTCATATATGCACATTTCATGCTTTTTGAATAATAAGCTTGATTTTTTTCATGTGGTGCATCAAGTCATGAACAGATCATAGCATCCAAGTGCAAAAGACAAGAAAGAAGAAAATATGTGCTTAAAAAAATTTAAGCAATTATGAGAAACTTATTAGATATCTTAATACCAGATCTTTGAATAATCAAAAAGAAGCCAAGAGATTTTCAAAAGTAGACAGGAATGGAAATTATTTTCAAATGTTTTAAGTTACAGTTAAATATTCTCTTTAATGCCAATCCTTTTATTGCTGTGCTAAATGTGTTGCTAACTTCAGAGTTCCTTCTTTCATGTGTTATATACTATGTTCTTTGACTGGTGAGGTTTCTGTAATTGTTGCCTAACCTTCTATATTCTGAGAAAGGGATGGTTTTCTCTTAGGGTTTTCTTTCTCTAAGACAGCCATGTATTCCCACATTGAATTCCATCTACCTGGGTTTTGGAATTCAGTGTTTTCCTTCAACAAGACTGGTCGCTAATCAATGCAAAAAAAAAAAATAAAAAAAAACTTGGGGGTAACGAAGAGATGAATTCAAACCTTTCCCCAGTCTATTTGTGTGAATGTGAATGCAATGAAACAATGCAATGAATTATAATGAAAATCAACTGGAATTCAAACCTCAGCTTGCCAATTTCTCATTCTGAGCTGTTAACCATTACACTACCCACACACATATTATTTGGATCAACATTTTTTTATCTGTTGTTTTTACGATCACATTTAAAGATGGCAAGACGTAACAAAGCACGTTGCATCCATTCATCTTTAAATGTTTCTAAATAATTTTTTTTTCTCATCAAGTCACAAGACTTACACACAATTCTATAAACTTGTTAAACTCTCTTGACAATTTGATAAAAACCTAATAAGAACCACTTCATGCAATATCCACTGACAAAACAAAGTTTAATAGCCCAAACAATAGGCCTAAGAAATGATGTCTTTTTCCAACATCATAGAAAACACTTATAGAAGGTTGAATAATATATAAACTGAAAGGTTATTTAAATGATGCAGATATTAGTTTGAATAATGAATGAAGTAATTAAAATATTTCTTTGGAAGTTCAAACTATTTCACTGTTATCTTTCTGTAATCTGTAAAACAGTTTTATAATAAAATGTTAATCTTTCTTCTCAGCCTTCTTCAGTTTATTTTCCATTGTGCACATGTTATTGCAGTTTGATCTTTTAAAAAAAGCACACTGAACCTAAATAAAGCATTGAGCATTAATACTGGCCTCAATCAACTGTTATTTTTATAATAATAAAATATCATTAGACTGATTAAATATTGAATAATTTTTTTTTTAAAAATGCATTAAGACACTTATAACTATCATTCATCTAAAAGAGAGAAAAAAGGTCATTTATAATTTCTTATTAAGTGTTTTCATAATTATTCTTGTTACAATGGAGCACAATAAGCTTTCTTTATGTAAAAAATGTTTATTGATGCAAAAGGAAATGTTATTGATAATAAGATAAGAATTGAATCTATTCACATCTCTGAATCTGTATAAAAACCAACAATGACAGTTTTCTAATATAAAGTTAAAATTAACTGTTTAAACTTAACACTTATTTTAAACATATCTCTTAATCTACCATTTTCTGGGTATATTCTGTAAACAGATATCTGGATCCAGAGAGTGAGTCTTAGGTATGTATCTACACATTTGTATAGTCATACACACATACATATACACACATCTTCCAAATAAAATAACACACACAGAAAAAAAAGGAGAGTTTAAATAAATTGCTTTAACAGTGAATGAAGAACAGTTCTGGTAAGAATTTATCCTTCCACTTCAATTATTTTTTTTTTTTTTCTTAAATTTTAGATTGGTTTGCAAAGAAATTGTATCCATTTACTGTCTAATTTAATTTTTTTTTCATTACAAATAAAATACTTCCTGTTTTATAATAGTCATTACATTTAGTGTATGAGATGTATTTACAGATAGAGCAACAATCAAGATATTGACTCTCTACACTATTTTAAACAAAAGGTTTGGAAGGAAACTCCTATCAATACTACTAGAGTGATAACAGTGGACGCCACAAAGTTATTTTTCTGGAAAACTATTTTAAATTTCAACTGACAGCAACATCAACTGCTCAGTTAATGAATGTTTCCTTATAAGGAAATGGCTAATTTCCCCCATTAACATTATTGTAACAGGGCGGTGGCCCTGGTTGAGTCATACTAGTGAATGGAAAGCAGTTAGAGACTTGATGTATTGAAAGACTTGATAATTCTAAGTGAAGGAGTAGATCTATTAGGAGAAAAATATGGGACAGTGTTTATTCGGATTGGTGGATTAAGATCAGTAAAACTGAGAATCCAACTCCATAATCCCAAGGAAGTTGGCATGACATGATTAATGAGTTTGCCAAAAGTTCACAGGTTTTCAGTAGCTCTAGGGTTTGTTTATTTAGAGACCTATTTGTCATTTTTGTGTTCATTTCAATGTAATTTTAGAAACTTAAAAATCCAAGCCAAAACTGAAAAACTGTTCATAGCCAGCCATATTACAGAAGGTTCTTTGCTTCAGGCACCTAATTAATCTTTTTTGTTTCTTAGAAAGAGGTCTATAGAAATGGAATATGCATGAGTCGGAGTCAGTCAGTATCGGTGTGCACATGAGGGTGCATGTCAGTTGGAATCAGACACCCGCAGAGAGAAAAACCTGCATGCTCTGTTGAAACATTGTGCATTAGAAAAAAGTCTGATAGAAAATGACTGAGATGAAGTAGCCCCACAGCTGTTGGATGATTTTACATTTTACCTCAAATCAAATTATTAATAACTTTGCAACAGCATTTTTTTTTTCTGATTGTCACATTTACCTTTTTCAGCTGGATCACACCTGATGTAGAGAAAACAAACAATCAAATTCTCACCCAGCCTAACAAAATTTATTGCACTGAATGATGCAAACCAACTTTGCTAAAATTCGCATGATATTCAAAACCCAGACAGGTTTGCTGTATTTAGGGACCAGCACAAATAATAGGTTATATTTGGTGCAGGGACCACAGCATATATATATATATATATATATATATTTATTTATTTATTTATAAAAACTCTAAAAACATGCATACAACCCATACACCCAATTAAAAAGCAAAAATAAAATCATACATGATAATGGCTAAAAGTATAGCTGAAAGCGCTTGGAATTATAGGACATTTGGACAGTTTCTACATACTCTGTGTCCAAAAAAGAAAACACTTGTTCTAAGACAAGAAAAATGAAATAAAAAGTATAATCATAGTACCTTGTTTGTTGTCTTTAATGAAACATGCATAAATGAAAGATTGCTGCCTAAATACACAATATATATGTGTGTGTGTGTGTGTGTGTGTGGAGTTGTATCTGGTGCTGTGTGAAGGGGGTCATATTATGGGAGAGAGGTATTAATCAAAATTAATATCCTAACTACTTATTAAAGTAAAACCATTATGATCAATATGCTGAAAATAAAAATGAAAAATTTCTGCATGTTTGGAAAAGATTCCTTAATTTAATTCCTGTT